ATCCTTCTGGGCTTTAATTGGTTTGGGGGTCATTTAGAGACCAAGTGAAGAAAAGAAAACTTAGGGGCAACATCAGGTGATGCTGCACCCCTGGAATTCAATTCACTGGGGAGGGATGGAGCAGGAAGGAAAAATGAAAATCATTCTGCTTTCCAAAGCTGCCCATTTCAGTCTAATGGTGGGAGGCCTTGGGAATATTTTGGCTCTCGTGCTTGGTGGTGGCTGCACCATCTGTGGAATCCAGGAGTGGAGTGGAAGGTGAGCAATCCCCACAAGGGTTACTGCTCTGGGCACCTGTGCCAGGGTCTCAGCACCCTCACAGGGAGAATTTCCTCCTAATATCAGACCTCAACCTCTCCTCTTTGGGTTTAAAACCATTCCCCCTTGTCCTGTCACCCCATCCCAGACCTGTCCTGCTCGGTGCCTCCCTCCCTGTTCGCAGCTGAGCCTCGAGCCCTCTCACTTTTGCAGTTTAATTTATTTCATGCAGGCCCTGTTGATTTGGTGTTTTTCCCAATCCCTCCATGGCAGGGACCGAGCCCAGGGCTGTGTGGAAGCTGAGGAATTCCATGGTGTGATCATCTCTGCCTCACAGCCCCATCACCCTGCAGGTGAAAACCAGAGCTCTCCACTGCCTTTCCCTCACATCCTCTTTGCCACTCACTACACCACCCTCTCTAATTACCAATTATACCACCCCTTTTAATTACCCAGCTCAGCCTTTGTGGTTCCATAATTGTCCAAGAAACCTCCCAGCCTTAAACACTTCAATCCCAGTGTCCTGTCCCCTTGGAGCGTGGTGCTGGATTTTTCTCAATCCTCTGAACTTTCCCAATCCTCTGAACTCTCCCAGTTCTGGACTTTCCCAATCCTCTGAACTTTCCCAATCCTCTGAACTTTCCCAATGCTCTGAACTTTCCCAATCCTCTGAACTTTCCCAAGCCTCTGAACTTTCCCAGTCCTGAACTTTCCCAGTCCTCTGGCACTCCAGTGCCTCTTCCAAGACCTCCTGGACACCACCATGATTTGTCCCCACAGCTCCTTGGCCACCTCCTTCACAACCATCTCAAGTTATTTGGATGTGCTGGTGTAAAACCACTCAGCTCCATCAGCTGGATGCTCCTGGGCTCTCCTGAGCAGTATTTCCTTAGCTTATGTTGTATTTTTTCCCACCAAACACCAGGATAAATCCCTCACTGAGCATTCCTGCCTTGTCTGTGTCACTGATAAACGTCCCATTTCCCTGTGGGATCACCCCATTGCTCAGAACTCATGGAAAATATCCTCCTGTCTTTAATTTCCCCAGCTTCCGAGGTTTATTAATTACAACCAGTTTCCCTTTTCTTCCTTTTGTGTGTTTATGTTTTGTGTGTCAGTCTTGGCAGCTCTTTCCCTTCCTTTCCAAGTGCTGTTGGTTATTTTAACAAAGATTCCTCCTTGTTTTGCTGCTTTTTGGATAAAATATTCTTAAAGGTTTTTCCCTTTTCAACAAGTTTTTCACTTAAAGTCCTTCTCTGAATTGATCTGACTTGTAATTATTTTCTGATTCACTTTTAAAGTGGCAAGGAAATATACAGACTTTTATACATTACTGCATTAAGCTTTACTTCATTTGCACATAACAGGATCAAGCCACAAAGGCCTGTGCCTGGCACAATGAGAAATCCACCCTCACCTGCTGGAGTGACGATAAATCTGGAATTCCCTCATGCTGGAGATAATATTTTTTTCCATTAGGATATTATCTTTCTTCCTCCCCCCAAAGTTCTGAGGATATTTTAATATTGGCAGCTCGGGACCTCCAGCATCCGCTGCTCAGCCAGAATCCCCCAGGGATCCCCAGGTTTTTATTAGATATTATGGATGGTTTTTATTAGATATTATGGATGTGGCTGCTTAAAGGACGAGAATGTGTCGAGTCCCTGCTGCAGACCCTTCTTGCCTCGTGCTTCATTTCCCAGGATATTGATCCAGAAACTCTGTGGGTCATTTATTTCCTTGTTGTTAATGACTCAGAGCAGCTCCCAGCCAGTCCCAGTGGGATTCCAGGCAGGACTGGCAGGTCAGGACCCACAAGCACGAGTGGAAATCAGATGGAGAGGGTGGATAGAGCACAGGGCTGCAGCAGGAAAATTCCCTGGCACCCTGAGGCACTGGGAGCTGGGTTAAGGCGTGGATTTAATGGCTCAGTGATCCCAGGGGTGATGGAGTTTATACAGGAGCATGGACAGGAGAGGAACAGCTTCAGACTGAAGGAGGGGAGGGTTGGATGGGATTTTGGGAAGGAATCCCTAATTAGGATGGGATACCGAGAAGGTGAGGCCCCAGTGAGCAGCCCTGGGAGTCCTCTGCAGAGCAGTTCACATCTCCTCAGCGCTGCTGATGTGCAGGAGGCTGAGGGAGATTCCAGATTGGATTTCACAGCAGCCCTGAGTGCCAGCGGGCTTTTCCCTCCTGCCATGCCAGGTCAGGAAAGCTGGGCTGCAGGATTCCCCCAGGAGATGTGACCCATTGCAGGGACACAGATGGTGTCAGATAGGGCTGACAGGTTGGTTCTTTAAATCCCTGGTGCACGTGAGGATGAGGAAGTGAGTGAGATGAAGTTTGGAATGAAAAAAATAATGATGAAAAAAATACAATGAATGGCAAATCAGCTTATAATAAATCACTGGGTGCGGATGGGGGAAGAAAAAGGAGGATTGGGCAGTGGGAGCAATGGGTGTTTTCTGTCCATGGTGGAAATGCAGGATTGTTGGGAGTTTCTTTTTCACCAGGTGCCATTAAACTTGCTGTTATTTCAAGCACCTGCTTTATGAGGAGCAGCATCCCACGTTGGTCAGAGGGGTGTCACACCTTGGTGCCTCCCTACATCCCACCAAATCCCCCCCAAAAGAACAGCTGGACAATAATTAGTCGGATAATTAACATGTAAAACAACTATGACTGTCTAAAACTACTGAGAAAGCAACAGAAGGGGACTGGAATTTCTTTTGTTCCCTACCAAAATTTTTATATGTGTTTAAGCAACTTCAGTTCTGGTGTTTTTCTTGGAAACTTTGGGGGTTCCCACCCAAATTCTCCCTCTGTGGGGGGGAAAAAAAAAAAAAGGAAAAGGGAGTTTGCAGTTGCCAAAAAATGCAGCACCTGGCGTGTGGGATTTTTGGGGAAGGAAACAATAAAGCCCTCCAATGTATAATGAGCACAGTTCTTGCATTCAGGACTCGGTGTAGTTTGCAAAGACATTTTCTACTGGAAAGAAATGCTTCAGTGGGAAAATTTCCACCCACTCCAGTTGCATCTCTTCCCTCCAGCTCCCAGAGAGAGAGAGAGAGAGGAAGGTTTTCTTCCAGAGGAGGGTGGTGATGTGTTTCCATGGATGGACAAGAAAATGCATCGAGAGAGGGAAAAAAAACCCAACTGAGTGGGAAGCCACAGGCTGAAAGTTGCGGGTGGGTGGGCAGAGAGGCAGGTACCGAGCACAGGAGCCTTTCAGAGGGGATGCACAGCCCCAATCCCGCGGGTTTCCATCACCAGCAGTTACACTGCTTGTTTTGTTTGGTTTTGTTTTGTTTTTTTCCTTGGAGTCCTGGCCAAGGTGGGTCCGGCTCAAAACCCCCACTCCAGCAACGCTGGTGATGAAATCCGAGATTTTGGGGAAGAGCTGAGTTTTTCCTCCATCTCCCAGGGTTTTGCTTTATAAGCACTTGTGAGCATCTTTGAAATCATTCTCCAGCACAGCTCCCCCTTTAACAGTGGTGCGTGAATCCCCTGGTGTATTAACACAAACACATCGATATTTGCAGGCACACGGACCCGCAACACGCATCCCGGTGCCAAAAAAGATTTCAGCACGTTCCGATCCAGGGGGATGCACCAGCGGAGCCGGACCCCGCCTGCTCCGGGGGCACAACGCGAGGATTCCAGGAGAGGGAAAAAACCCGGGGAGAAAAAAACCCGGGGAGAAAAAACCCAGGGAGAAAAACCCAGGGAGAAAAAACCCAGGGAGAAAAAACCCAGGGAGGCAAATCCCCGATGTCGGGGAGCGGAGCGCGGAGGGGCTCCCGGTGGGCTGGGAGGATCCCGGTGGGATGCGCGGTGCTGGAGGGAGGGGAGCGGCGCCCGGCGGATCCGGACCCAGCCCGGAGCGCTGTCCCCAGCCCGGGGCGAAGCACAGCGCGGCCTCTCCATCAATAAACAACAACCGGCCCGTGCTGCAGCTGCGGCGCGCCCGGGCCGCCTCCGAGCGGGCTCTGCCCGGACCCCGGCGCCGCTCGGCCCATGCCCGGTGTCTCCCGGCCGCCTGCCCACGGGGGATGCCGGCCCCTCTCCGCCCCGCCGGGGAGAGCCGGAGCGATCAATAAAACTGCGGGAGCATCCCGGGAGGCTGCGGGGGGCTGCGGCCCTGCTGGGCTGCGAGGCGAAGGCGACGCAGTTCCTGTCTCTTTAAATCCACCCTGAGCCCGGCGCCGGGAGAAAGCCGAGGCAGAGCAGCGAGCCCAGGATCCCGCTCGTTGCCGAGCGGGATTTATCCCCGTCGGGAGCGCCGAGCGAGGGCCGGGGGCGGCGGCGCGGGCCCCCGGTCGGGCCGGGATGCGGGCAGGGCCGGGCGCGGCCCCCCGGCACTGAGCGTTGCGGCGCGGGGGAGGGCGCGGGGCGTGCGCGGTGCGCGGTGCGCGGTGCGGGAGCGGCCGGAGCCGTGCGGGAGGGCGGCGGAGGAGGCTCCGCATTGCTGCTGCTGCTGCTGCCGCTGCCGCTGCCGTGCCGAGCCCCGCGATGCCGCCGCGCCCGCCGCTGCCCCCGGCCCTGCGCCCCAGCCAGCCCGGCCGGCGGCGGGGGGCTCCGCGGGGGCTCTGAGCATCCTCCCCCCGGGGCTGCCCAGCGCTCGCTTTTTCCCTTTTTTTTTTTTTTTTTTTTTTTACCCTCTTTCCCTTCTCTTGGCATTTGGCCTCTTTTTTTTTTTTTTTTTTTTTTTTTTTTTTCTTTTTTTTTTTTCTTTTTTTTTTTTTTCTCCTTTTCCCCCACCCCCGTTCCCTGCCTTGGATGGTTTTTAGGTGGAGTCGTTTGCACCAAAATCCAATAGCTGCTGCTGTTCTTGCTGCTATTTTTTTTTTTTTTAATGATCCTGTTTCCACAGCAGGGGAAGAGAGAACTGATCCTCAACATACTCCCAGAGAATGAATAATCACAAGAAACTGGCTTAAGCAGCTCCCTGGATCTGGTGCATGATTTCAATTGAGTTCGATTTGATTTAATTATTTTAATTTTTATTTATTTCTTTTTCCCCCAAGTCATCGTTCGCATTTTATTTCCTGCATTTCTTCCTATTCTTTTCTTTTTCCCCCTTTTTTTTTTTTTTTTTTTTTCACCTTTCGGGAGATTTGCAAACCGAATTACATGCATGTCCAGTGGGGGAAGGTTTAATTTTGACGATGGAGGGTCGTACTGTGGAGGCTGGGAGGACGGAAAGGCTCATGGCCATGGAATCTGTACGGGCCCGAAGGGTCAAGGTGAATATTCGGGCTCCTGGAGTCACGGCTTTGAGGTGCTGGGGGTCTACACTTGGCCCAGTGGCAACACTTACCAGGGCACCTGGGCGCAGGGCAAGCGCCATGGCATTGGCATGGAGAGCAAAGGGAAGTGGGTGTACAAAGGAGAGTGGACCCATGGATTTAAGGGACGGTACGGGGTCCGGGAATGCACTGGAAACGGGGCCAAGTACGAAGGCACCTGGAGCAATGGATTACAGGATGGCTACGGGACAGAGACCTACTCGGATGGAGGTAGGTGATGCGTTGATCCTTTCCTGGCTGGGGCAGAGGGGTGGAGGGTGGTGGGGAGATGCTCCCAGAGGGGTTGGGGTTGGACTCTGGTAGTTTGCAACCTGCTGCCGTGGATCAGGAGATGCTCCCACCCTGCAGGGGAGAAGGAACCAGCCCAGCGTGGCACCAGCCCAGCTCTTTGCCACAGGTAGCCCCAAATGTTCCATGGGGTCTCTGGGCGCTGGGTCCTCCCTCCTTGCTCTCCTCAAGCAGTTTTTTGGGATGTGGAAGGGGCTGTGCTGGTGGGGGGATGCCCAACTCTGGCCCAGAGGGGTCGGAGCATGGGGTGAGCCAGGCCTTGGGGACACAACCCAAGTTGCACATGGGATTGGCACTTCTGACTGCACCACTGGAACCTGTAGGATTTGCATGGGAACAACGCGGGGCAGGATGGAGGCGAGTGTGTGTGTGTGGGGGGATCAGGGGTGGAGAGCTCCCAGCCAGGGGTGGGGGGCTCTGCTCCTCCTCCAGCCCCTCCAAAGGCAGCCCCACGCTCAGTGATGCCAGGGAAAAGACTTTAATTCAGACAAGAGTCTTACATTCCTAGTTTACGGCTTAATGCTTAGCGTAAGGGCTCAGAGGGATCACCAGAGCTCTTCTCTGCCGTCAACATGGCTTAACGAGATGCTGAGGGGAAACTGGGATTAGAGGAAAAACAAGAAAACCCAATTGGAGCGATCAAACCCAAAAAAATTGCTGGGCTAACAAGCTTTAGGGCTGAACTGGGAGAAACAGCTGGCGCCGTGCTGGAAGTGGCTGTATCATCCTCGCTCCTGGGCTGGGGCTCCTTCCACAATGGGAATTGCCACCATAATCCGAGGCAGGCCTACCTGCCAGCAGCTGGGGGGCCCTGGGCTCCGCTGGCCCCTGCTTTTCCCGGGAATGGAGGCCTCCTAAAGCAGGCTCTCGGGTTATTTTTAGGATGTTATGGTTTTCCATACGGCTCCGGTGAGGAAATTGCAGCGTCGGGGAGCTCCATCGCAGCCCTGCTGAAAGGTGCTGCAAGACCTTGCTCTGGAAAGCCCAGTTTGCTGCTTTGTGGTTGCTCAGGGAGGGGAGGTTGAACCTCACCTGCAGCTGCTTTTTTTCTGTGCTCTCACAGGCAGAGGCGGAACCGCCTCGGGATTTTTAATGATAATTCGGTGCCGGTTGTTTTCTCCCCGAGAAAAAGAGAGCTGCAACCTTTTGTTTCAGCTGCCTGGAAGGATGCTGGGGACTGAGCTGGGACGTGTGTTTGGAAGCCATGGATAAATCCCAGCAGTCCTTCAGTCAAAAATAAAGCTTGGGCAGGGAATCGTCGCCGTCTCCCACATCCGAGGCGCTCGGGAGGGGCTGTGGGGGGGTTTCTGCTTGCTCCCAACGTGGGTGCTGTCTCCTCCTGGCACCCAGCCCCTGCCTGGGAGGTTTGAGGGAGGACAGACACAAGTCTGGACTAACTACAGGTCTCTGAGGGCTGGGTGTTGCAGGGCTGGCCCTGTCCCCGGCCACGCACGTGCCCCCGCCCCGGCACGCTCCCCATCCTCTGCAGAGCAGCGTTTTTTAGGGAAACCTGGGCAGCATCCCCACCCTGGGGTGGCTTAGCAGCAGTTTCAGCGTTTTCTGAGAAGCTACCAGAAGGAAGCAGCTTTTCCTTCCATCTTGTCAGGCCAGCCCGGCTTCCCGGCACTCGGGGACCCAAAAGCGACGTCGTCGTCGCGTGTTTGCGATTTCGGGAGGAGGGAAGAGGAGCAGTGCTGGGAAAGGGCAGGGTCTGTGGCAAAATGCTCCCCCTGGGGCTCTGCAAGCCTTCCAAGGAGGAAGGGATGCCGTGCTGGGGAAATGCAGGGTGCTGGTAACTGTGGATGCTCCTCCACATCAGCTTCCCCCACCTCAGCGGGGCCACAGCCACCTCCAAGGCCACTTCCACCAACTCTGCTCCCAGCACCCAGAGGCCACAGCCCTTTCCCAGCTGCCGGGCTCCATTCTGGGTGGAAACCACCAGAGCTGGGCATCTCCAGCCTTTTTGGACACCAGGCCTTTCTGAACTTTGTGTGTTTGGGTCCCAGAGGCCGCTGTGTGCGGGAGCGGTGGCACCGGGGAGGCAACGGTAGGGAAGGATGTTTCTCATTAATCTATTCCAGTTATTACCTCCAGCAAACTGAAGTACCCAAGAATCCTCGCCCCAGCATCTGTCACTTGCCACCCACAGATAAATATTCATCCCTTGCACATCATTTTTTTTTTAGCTCCCCATCCCTGGCTCGGGGTTGGGGCCCTAAATGCGCAGCGATGCTCGGGGAGCCCCAGAATCCAGGGATTTGCTCCAGTTTTCCCATTGCAGGGGGAAGGGCAGCCTGTGCTGGGGGGGCTGTTGGTGTCCCTGCTGGATCCTGGGTGTGCTGGGCGTCGGGGGTGGCACTCGGTGGCCCGGGGGCTCCCGCCAGCCCCGCGGCAGCGCTGCCCCCGCGCGCAGCTTGCCGAGCTCACACCTCCCACGCCGCGCCCGCCGCGCGCCCCACGCCCGGCCCCCCACGCCCAGCAGCCCCCCACGCCCTTCCCACTCGCTCCTGACCCCCGGCAGAGCAAACCCTGCTCCCCCAGCCCCGGGGATTGCTGCCCATCCGTGCTGCTCTCTCAGGAACCCACGCGGCCCTGGCACGGCTGGCACGCGGCCCCTGCGCCGTCCTGCTGTCCCCGTGGCCTCGCGCACTCAGACATCCCCACACTGCTGGTACGGCCTCGTCTTGCTGCCAAAAAGCCTCCTGGGCCCCTCCAGAGCACCTGGTGTTACATAAAGCAGGCTCCCAAGGATTGGGAGCTGCAGTTGAAGCACTTGTCTGATTCAGCCCAGCTCCGGAGTGGGAGCAGGAATTGCTCCCTTGCTCCAGGGAAAGGAGTTGCGTCCACCTGGATCTGCAGCTCTGTGGGGCTGGGGATGCTGTCAGTGGGGCTGGGGGAGCCGGGCAGAAGGCTGGAGACCCTCTTCAGATGAGGTCAGGAGATCAGGAGACATCACAGCTGCTTCTGCCTGGGATGCTGTGGGGATCTCAGTGATTGCACCCCGGGGACAGCTGGAGTTGTAGCTCCAGCCTTCCCATGGGAATTCTCTGCCTTGGGTTTGGGCTGAGCTGCTGAAACCATCGTGGCTTTGGCAGGGGTGGATGAGATGGGTTGGCTGAAGGAAGCCTCCAGATCTGTTTTTGCCCTTTCCATCCCTAGCAATGCTGGTTTCCTCCTCCTCCCACCTCTTCCCAGCTGAACTGGGATCCTGAACCAGACAGGGCTCTGGGATGGGACCAGCCCCATCCTGGGCACTCACTGCATCCCTGAGGGAATGGCACAGGCTGGGGGTGCCTGCTGTGAACTAGCCTCACCCTGTTGCCATCCTGTCCCCATCCTGCATGTCCCTAAATCCCTGTTTCTCGGGAGAGCTGCCCCGACAGGGCCGGGCGGTCGCACGGTGCTGTTCATCTTGTGTAATCTCCGTGCCCACTCACCTAAAATGAATCATCCTTTGATAGGTGAGGGAAATATAATTAGTGTTTGCATTGTTAGCACTGGCTGAGTAGGCAAGTGGGTTTTCTTGGCCCGGGCTGGGAAATGTTCCTGTTGTTGGGAGAGGGGAGCACAGGGAGCTGCTGGGGTGGGGCCCTGCCAGCCTGTCCTGCTCCATGTCCCACTTTCCCAGCCCTGCAGTGCCACTGGTGACACCTCTCTGAGCAGGTGCACCAGGAGCTACCCACCAAATGGCTGGGGAGTGGTTGGGGAGGGGAAAAGCAGGGAATATTTCCCAAAAGCCAGCATGAATTGCTGCTCCAGGGGGATGGAGCGGGAATGCTGGGTGGGACCTGCCTGCATGGGAAGGGGCTGCAATCCCCTCACCTGAGCAGAGCTGTGCTTTGGGATGAGCCAACACCAGCCAGGAGGGTTGGAATGGGACCCCTTTAATGTCCCTTCCATCCCAAACCATTCCCAGATCCCACAGTGCCAGCGGCCTGGGGCCTCTCCCCAGCCCTGCATTGCCCTGAGCTCCTGCACAGGGAACCCAGGAGAGAGGGCAAATTTCCCTCAGGATCTATTCATAGCACGGATGTCAGAATTACCTTAAAAGTACCAGCTCTGCCTTGTTTTGCTGCCGGGAAGGAATTGTTGATGCACTTCAAACAGTGGGCGGAAACAAGCAAATCCAGGAGCGCCCTGATCCTCGATCCTCCCGCTCCTGCAGCACCCAGAGCTGCTCCCAACAGCCCCCCCAGACCCCGAACATCAATTTAAAAAGTCAGGATTTTGGTGATGGAGCTGCTCGCTGTCTGGGTTGGGTCTGGGAGCTGCTTGCAGTGGTTCCAGGAGAGCAAAAGCGGAGACGTCGGGAGCTGCCGAGCGCAGAAAAATGAATCAAAATACTAAATGAAGGTTCTGGCCAGCCTCATTAAAAATACATGCTATGAACTCATGGTAATTACTTCTCTCACTGGAACATGCTGCTTAGTTTCAGGTACAGCTCAGGACAGAGGAAGAAGGATTTTGACCTCGGAGAAAAGAACATGAGGCAGAAATTGCCAGACAGGCCTCAGACCCTCACTCCATCTTCCCGAGTCCTTTATCCAGGCTGGGATTCTCCAGGGAGCTGTGCAGGATCCCAGCCTTGGGGAGCCCACCAAACCCCTCTCCCTGCCCACTGCCTCCAGCCCTGAAGCACAGCGCTCGTGCCATTGCACTGGGGTGGGTTCTCATGGCTTTGAATGCAAATCTCAGGGTATTTGCATGTGATTTGATATCCCATGGGGCTCCTCGTGGTTGGGTGACATCTGCTCCTGGAGCTGAACGCTTTTTTTTTCCCCTTTAGAAGCTCCAGCTTGTGGAATCATGTGATTTTGCAAGATTTTCAGCTTCGGTTTGGAAGCAAGGTTTCCACCCAGGCTATTGCAGAAAAGTCATTCTTCCAGGCTGGGGAAGCAGCAGACAAGAGCTAAAAATGCCTT